AAAGATTCTCGCTCTCCTGGGGCGCCTGGGTGCCTCAGTCGTTAAGTGTCTGCCTTCGGCTCAGGTCATGATCCCAGGGTCCTGGGATCGAGCCCCACACTGGACTCCCTGCTCTTCGAGAAGCCTGCTTCTCCCTCTCCCACTCCCTTTGCCTGTGTTCCCTCTCTTGCTATGTCTCGCTCTGTCAAATAAATAATTAGAATCTTAAAAAAAAAAAAAAAGATTCTCGCTCTCCCTCTGCGCCCCCCTCTCTAAAAATAAATAAAATAAAGTATTTCACCCTGACAAAGATGCACTGAATTCTATTCCCAAATGTGGAATATTTACCCTTGAGTGTAGAGCTTTTCGGCAATCCTCATGGTTTCTTTAGCATTTATTCTCAACTTTCGAGAAGCCAGCTTCTCAAGCTCCTGTTAAACGTGTCACAGGCAAGTTAGGGCGTAGTGCAGGAGTCAGAGGGCACAGCACGGCCACACAACTCATCTTCACAAATGTCTGGCCCCTGTCACTCCAGCTGCTGTCACACAGAGGGGGAAAGACTGTGCTGAGGAAAGCTTTCTGGGCCTGCTGGGCAGGGCCGGGGTAGATCTGATGGGCAGAAGCAAGAATCACCCAGGGAGGCAACAGACTCCCGGGCCCTGAGCACTGACAGAAGAGGGCTGGGATAGAGGCCAGAAATCAGCATTTTTCAACAAGCCAGGTAATACACAGATTCTAATACAGGCATTCTGGGAACCGCACTTTGGGAACACCACCCGGGCCCTAGTAACTTCTCCTGGTGACGAATACCATTCTTCAAGAACTCCTGGGAGATAATTGGCTGTCCTTCCCCTTGGTGACATTCCACCAATGCTGATGGCTGTGTGTGAAAGCATACTTAACCAGTGAGGAATAATACCCTTATGTCTGTTGCAGGAAATCAATCCGTAACTCTCCCCTTGTCAATCCAACCACACACGCACACACACCATGCCACGCCACAGATAAAGAATACACTGCCCACCAGTCCCTGCATGTTTCCCTTAGCCTGCTTGCTCTGTATGTTCAATCTCTAGGGTGAATCCCGACAGAAACTATACTCTGAATTTCCCTGCAAAGTGGTCTTTGGGAAGGGGCACCCCCCGCCCCAGGGTAGTCAACTCCAAGTTATGTCCAACGGGGGTGGCTCCTCCTGGGTCTAAAAATTTGAAAAACTCTGTTCCCTTTAAAGTAGGCTATTAATGCAGATCTTTAAAAATGATGTGTATACAGATTATGCAGAAACATTAAAAAAAATGCTTGGGCGGAAAAAACAACCTATTCCAATTACAACAATGTAAACTACACGCGTATGAAAAAAGAGGAAGACACTCCGATTGTATCAGAGATTGCGTAAGGCTGGCAAGGTGAGGGGTGATGTGTCTTCCTCTTGATGCCCCCCAAACCCCCACAAAGCAACTATACTGCATTTATTAACGTACAAACAAACAAAAAAACCAAACCCCAGCATTAGAAGACTAAGCAGGCCCTGTTTGGGGGCTTTTTTCTTCCCAAGCACTTTCCTACACAGCCCCGTTAAGGGTGATGTTTCCTGCCACTGGGCCACTCTCTGCCGCAGAAGCCGGGTCCCCACCACGGGAAGTCAGCGCTCCTGAGCCCCTGGCACACTCTTCCGGAACATACCACAGTGTCCAACGCTTGAGGCCTCCACTTGCTCTTTGCCTTAGACCTGACCTCCACCACGGTTGCCCTGGGATCCTAGAAAGCCAGAAAAAGCAGAGGCCATAGTAACCTGTTGGTGCACCTTCTCCAACATTCCTGCGGCAGCCTCAGCTCACCATTCTGGACGACACCACCAGCAGAGGTCCCTGCTCCGGCCGGGAGAGGACCTCGAGTGAGGTCGGCTTGTAGCCCACAGGGTGGTGGAGACATCACCACCTTCCCGCTCAAACCAAGGCTTTGACGGGCAACTTCATAAGCCCTCACAACAGCCTGTGCATCTCTGAAGAACCGTTTCCTATCTATACGTGCGGTGTACGTTTTCCTTTTTTTAAATTCAGGATAATACCAAGTCAGAAATAGGAGAAATTATACACTACAAGCTGGAGAACTCAATCTTAAGACTGACTTCACACTGGGCGCCTGGGTGGCTCAGTCGTTAAGCGTCTGCCTTCGGCTCAGGTCATGATCCCGGGGTCCTGGGATCGAGTCCCGCATCGGGCTCTCTGCTCGGCGGGAAGCCTGCTTCTCCCTCTCCCCCTCCCGCTGCTTGTGTTCCTGCTCTCGCTATCTCTGTCTCTGTCAAATAAATAAATAAAAAATCTTTAAAAAAAAAAAAAACACATTTGGCAAAATAAATTATGGTATATCTACGCGATCATTAAGTGTCGTACTTGAAAATATTTCAGCACATGGGGAAATGGCAAATGTTTCTTCCTTATAATCTTCTGAATTTCCTAAACTGTCTAAAACGAACACATACCACATTTAAAGCCAGAGAAGAACGTATGTATTAATAAAAGAAGGAAACAAAGACCAGACCGGATTTAGCTTTGCAATAAGCCTGCAAACAGGCCCAACCAGCTTGGCCTCACGGAGTGCATCCCCCAGCTGAGGAAGGGCGGGAGCAGGTGAGATGCCTGAGCTTTCTCAGGGCTGCCTCAAAGCCCTGCCGCCGCTGGACCGCGACAGGAGGCCAGTGTCAGGGTGTCACCGCCTCAGGACGGCAATGGAACCCGGTCCAGTCTGGGGAGGCCCCATGGGGGCTGCGCAAAGGCACAGGGAAGATGAACTGCCCAGACAGGTGTGGAGGGTCTGACAGAGCGGGAAGTGGGGCTGCACAGAGTAGACCCAACCTGGGGGGCGGGAGGGGGCTCATGGAAGCCAAGCAGGATGGTGAAGCAAGAGAATTTTGACACTGACATCTCTTTGCTAAAATGTAAGAGCTATTTCAAAATCACTTCGTTCCTGAAGTAAGAGCCCGCAGAGTACAATCAAGTGCTACTGACCCCTCGCTTCCCCGTGGGTTCCAGGAGGCGGGGTTAGGGAAACCGACCTGCAAGCTGTCGGTGTATTTGGTGGGGTGGATGGGAGGGTGAGCTTGGTCAGACTTGTTCCCGTTGCGTGGAGTGGGGCCACCCCGCTCTAGAATGCTCTGGGCGAAGGCCCCCCAGCGCGGATCCAGGGTCTGCTGCTCCACCAGCACGGTCAGGTTCAAGTCTTTGGGGAAGATGTTTGTTTCAGTACGAGGATAGCTGATGTACCTAGAACAAAGACAAACAAAGAGAAAAAGAAATTGCTTTAATTGCTCTAGAAATAGCTGAATTAGACTGGAAACCCCTGGAGACACCTGTCCTGCCCCATCTGCCTTAGCGGGCTCAACGGAAGGCAACCTAGTTTCCCTCTGCTGAGGAAGGTTCTCACATGGGACCCACAATGGGGTGAGCAACAGCAGGCTCGCTGGCTGAGATGCTCCGAGAAGCCAGAGCGTAAGTGAGGGGGCAGCACGGGGCGGGACACACTCCCGCTAGGCCTGCCAGCACCTGTGTGGCCGGGGACACAGCCCCGGCCCGATCCCTCGTCGCTCTGCCAGTGACCCGCACGGCCTTGACAGTGGCAATGGAGCCTGCTTCTACGACTTCGCTTCGAGCACAGAAAGAATAATGCTGGGGGGCACCTGGGTGGCTCCATCAGTTAAGCATCTGCCTTCGGCTCAGGTCATGATCTCAGGGCCCTGGGATCAAGTTCCAGGTTGGGCTCCCTGCTCAGCAGGGAATCTGCTTTTCCCTCTGCCCCTCCGCTCAGCCCTCTCTCTCTCTCAAATAAGTAAATAAAATCTTGAAAAAAAATTAAAAAATAAATGTTTAAAAAAAAAACAAAGAAAGAATAATGCTGCCTAATAAACCATAATGTGGACCCTCCATGTAATTTAACATTTTTTTACTGGCCACTTAAACAGCATTAATGAGATAATTTACATTCTTGTTTCCATACAAGTCTTCAAAACCCAGTGCATATTTTACACTTACAGCACATCCCAAATTTCAAGTGTTCAACAGTCCCCTGTGGTGAGTGGCTGTCACACTGGTTGCGAGGACCACACTGTCCCTGGATGGTTTACGATGGCAAACGACTCCCAAAGGTGCTGTGTGCCACCTGCCAAGGCCCTGGGGGCAGCTGCTGAGAGGTCAACAGTGGGATGGGAATTCACTCTATGGGCTCTTATTTTAGGAAGTGATTTTGAAATGCCTTTTCCATATCAGAAAAGTGAGCGTCGGGGCGCCTGGGTGGCTCAGTCGTTGAGTGTCTGCCTTCAACTTGGGTCATGATCCCAGGGTCCTGGGATCGAGCCCCACATCGGGCTCCCTGCT